GCACCTGCATAAGTTGACCTCAATTATCAAGAACGGAATTTTCCCTATATAATATAAAGAAGCAAAACCTTTGTAGCTTGACCACCTGTCTATCTTGTATGTTGACCACTGAAATAAGTCAATTTTGTCTAGGAGTATTATGAAATTCTATTCTAAAACCCTCATAAGTTGACCAGAAAAAAAAATTCAGAAAATTTCCTGTCATTTTTGCAATGTATCTTAAAATTTCACTTGTTTGGTGAAATAGTGTAAAAGGCTAATCTAAACCCTTTTGTGAGTTTACCATCAGGGGAAACTGTAAGGGGTCAGCTTTTGACCATTTCTTTCATCCGTTCATTAAAAACAGGTGTGTTAGTTGAAAAGTTGCTCTTCCAGTTGCAATAGTGAGCATTTGAATAAATGAATGCTCTGTAAATATGCTTTGATCCTTTATTTATGGTGTTTGAATGAAGAAGCCAGGTACGTAGTCCCCTTTAAGGGCATCCCCTTAAAGAGGATCCCTCGTGCTTAGGTAAATTTATTGAAATTGCTCTCAAGAGATTAAATTCTTTAAATATGCGGCTGTCTGAGGACCATGGATATTTGAAACTTTACAACGAATTTTTAGCAGAATATCTTAAACTTGGACATATGAAGGAAGTGAATGAGGAAAAGGAGTCTGATGTAGTTAATTACGCTGCGCACCACTGTGGGCCAGAAGACTATGATCTTTGGCCAAAAGTCAAAAATTAAATTTTCAACTGAAATATATGTAGGCAGTTTTTATATAGTTTTTATATAGCCCCAATTAAGTATTCATAATCATTCCAAACATTATAATTTACTTTTTGGACCGATGAGAGTACAATGTAATGAAAAATACGTAATTTTTTTTTTTTTAAATGTAACTTTTAAGTTTTTATTTCAGAAATATATAGGAATTTCACCTTACTGTTACATTTTTATCAGAGTAATAAGTCTGAAATTATAGTACAATTTTTCAGTTTGTTGGATTAGTTAATACTCTTGACAAACTTATAGTTTATATCTTATCATTTGACATTTTACAATGTTTGAATTACTTTTGAAACTTAGTTCCAAAAAGTTCCACGAGGTAATTAACTAAACTTTCTTTTGTTGTCTTCTTCGATGTTTCTTCTTTCAAAAAATCCTGCCCCATTTTGCCCGTATTGCAAAGGTGGACTAAATATACCGAAAAACAAAAATTAAGTTTTTTTTCTTCATGTTTTTGCGTTATTTTGTAATTAATTCGCGTTATTTTGTAATATTACTTCGGAAATATAATTTGTTTTTCATTTTTAATATAAAATTATGAAAATTAATAAATTTCCATTGCTATATTTAATTATTTAAAGGTATTATAATTTTTTTTTGTTTTTGCTCACCATATTTCAGCCGCTATTTTGTTTTTTTGGGTATTTTTAGTGTATTTCAAAATTTTAACTATGAATTCACTTTACCTGCACATAAAACCCCCCCAAATTTTGAAACAAATTTTATCGAAATATCAATTTTGGCCACGAAACCTTGACTGTGCAATGCTGAATTACCTGGGCTCATAAAAACTTGCAAGAAATAGGAATAATCATTGATTTTCATAATTTTCATTTTGCCGCTAAAAATGCCGCCATATTGGCGATTTCTAAAAAAAGTTTAATAATTTTAAATATATTTTAGTTATTTATCTGTTCTAAAGTTCATATAATTCTTTACAACAAGACACCATAAATAGTTTAAAATTATAGCTTTGCATCGAGTATCAGGTGCTTAGACTGTGGTTTTTTGATTTTTATTGGCGATAGAGCTTCGAAAAACCTTGTTAATGTGCTTTTTATTGGCTTTCAGCATATCTGATAAATAAATTCTGTTGGATTAATGCTTTTATGACCAAAATGTTTTAGTTGACATGGTTTGTTTTTTCTTCCTTTCCAAAGTAGAATACTTATCTGGAACCAAATTGAATACGAAAATTGTGATTTAAAACCTTTAAGCGCAGCAAGTTTTTAAGCTGGTACTTCAGTCCTTTATCTAGATTTTGTCTGCTTGGTTTTCTTTTAAAATTAATCACTACAACCAACCAGCAGTTAGTAAGGAATGTTTAATCTGTAACAATAGGTTTCCGTAAGCGGTGCAAATTGGTGTACCGGTCATCGAATATTATATTCTATTTACAAATAAAAATGCTTAATAACAAAATCATATAAAAAATTCAAAAAAAAAAAATCGCGAGATTGTGTTTATTTTTTCTTTTTTAAAATTAAAATAATAATTAACAAAATATTAAAAAAACATGATTTCAGAAATTACTTTAATAATTTTAAAAAATATATTTCTTTCAATTATAAAATCGTTTAAAAAATTCTGTAAATTTTAAGAAAATAATTTCAATGGTTTTTAATTTATTTGAAATAGGAATATCGTCCATATTGCTGTGCTCCACCTGTTGATTCCATGAAACCATATTCTTCTAACTGGATAAATGTCGTGGATCAACCGGTGCATCATTTAAGTACCTCATGCGAAGAAGAAAAGGTATACAAGTATATATAGAGAGTATTCTTTATTGACTATCGTTAACATATATTTTTTGTAGTTTATTTATATCGCACTAGAGCTGCGTAATGGGCTATTGGCGACGATCTCAGAAACATCCCTGAGGATGATCCGAAGACATGCCATCACAATTGAAACTTTTTTTGCACAAAACTAACTTCATTACCACCATCATGTCGTTGGTCATGAAATTGCGGAGCCCTAACCTACTACGCCACTACGTGTTGTTATGGAATGCTTTACTTTACTTCTAAAAATATTTATTTTTGAATAAAACAGATGTTTTGGTTATAGTATTTTTATATTCTACTAATTACAAGAATTTTCCATACAAATCTTTCAAAGTTTTTGAAAAATCTCGCATATTTTTCTGTTGTCCTTAGTCTAGGAAATAGCGTACAGTCTACCCAGTATTAAGTTGTTCATTATATTTTAGGGTTGTCATGAACATTGCAAGCCAACTAAATGTAGCCAAGCAAGATGTGAAACGGTGGTAAATATTGTTACGAACCTTGTAAATATGTGTATAATTTGGTGAATATTCTTTTGTTATGAGGCTTAATATCTCAGACGGGCTCCAAATAAACAGTTTAACTAGAAAATTTTCAAGAAAGTCATGAAACTTAGAAAGAAAAATACGCGTATAACTTTTTATAGAAGATTCGGTTTAGTGTCATTTTCGTCGAGTTGGCGATAATCTTGGCAACTGGGCGATTATTTTGGCAACAAAATGATAGTTATGGAGATTTTGATTTTCAAAGCGATTGGACCAAACATTAACGAATATATGCGAGAATCATCTAGATTCAGAATGTGTCGAACATTCCGGAGCTTGTCGCTAAGCCTAAGTAAATAAGATTGTGTAGTAGTTTAGTGTCGCAGTGTAGTAGTTTTCATGATGAACTTACCACACGATTTGATAAATCAATATGAAAAGGTACAAGGTCTCTTCTCAGACTATGACTATGAGTAGTAGCAGTAGTAGTCTGCTTGTGACTGTAGAAGTGTTCTGACCTGAGAGAGATCATTGTAAAGACTATTTTTTGCTATACTACACTGTTATTTGAGCTGTAATTGAGTGCTATAAATAGCTGTATCTTCTGAACGTTTCTATTGATAAATATTTGGAGTCTTAAAACTGTTTCATTCATCTTCAATCGAAACGAACCCCTGTGCTCGGTTCAATATTGTAATCTTTCTATAGCACCCTCCATCAAGAATGTTTTGGTACAGAGTTCAAACTGGACACTAAAATTATTGAAAGAACAAGTGGTGTGAACAAGTATAATTGATATTATTTCTTTTTATACATCATCTTTGCTATAAGGAAGCGACTACAACGATTTCGATCGTGTTTTAAAGTCTTTTTATTCATACGACAAACATTATTATTTTTTTATTATTTATTTTCAATAAATCACTTTTGTTTTAATGTTACATACCTTCTTCTTGCACTTATGGCTTAAATTATTTTGAAAGTATTAAAATATTATTAATTAGGCAACACAAATTAAAATATTGTTTATCAAGCAAATAAAAATTTAAAATATTGAAGTTTTATAAAGTTATTAAAGTTTCATGAAATTTCCTTTTTGTATGAAATTTTTAAATGGGTAAAAATTGATGCGAATTAACATGTTAGACTAAGGAAAATGAAGATTTACGTTTTGCTTAGGAAATAAGGCTTTATTTCCAACAAGTTCCGAACCTGTAGTTACGAAAATCGACCGACTGATAATAACAATAAAACAATGCTTCCAAAAAATTCACTATTTGCCGTAAAAATGGGCGCAGTCTGAGGACTTAATCAACAAAACATATATTTATGGTTTTTAGTCTGTTACAGTGCCATTGATTGACAAACTTTAGAACTAGTTTTTTAAACTGTGTTGGTGGTTATGAATTCTCTTGTTTTCTACACCGAATGCAAACTATATCTTACTGTCTCTTTCCATTTTTAAATCAAAACTATATTTTACGAATTACTTCATTACTTAACGGAACATTTTTAATACCGTTTATATTACTAGTGAGACCAATAGTTTTATATGGCAGTGATTACTGGGTAATTAACAAAGTTGACGAAGAGAAACTGATGACTTTCGAGAGAAAATATGATGAAAAATTTTTGGTGCTGTAAGAGAAAACGGAACCTGGAGAATTCGTTACAACCATAAATTACAATCAAAATACATAGAACCTAACTTAGTAAAAATGATTAAGGTTTCTCAAATAAGGTGTTTAGGACATGTATTTTGATACAGTGATGAAAATCCTGTTAAAATAATAATCTTCCAGACACCAGAGGGAAAAAGAAATAGAGGAAGACCTAGAACAAGTTGGTTAGATACAGTAGAGAAGTGGTTAAAGGACTATAGAGTTAATATACCATCCAATAGATTTAGATGGGGTAAACTGACTGAGACTGTCTTGGCCGGTAACCAGATTTACTGTCTAAGAAGAAGATATATTACTTGCTCGCATAAATATTAAATATGATTAACTAGAAACCACAGTTTTAGATTTTAATGTATAGCTTCTTTGTAGGATTATTATTTCAACACGATTATCTAGATACCAGAGTTTTAGAGCGTAATTTTGAACTAGAGTCTTAGAACGCAATGTAGTTTCTGTGAAAGATAGTTATTTAAATACGATTATCTAGAAACCAGAGTTTTAGAACGCAAAATACCGTCTTCGAAGAATAATATTTCTGAACGATTATCTAGATGTCAGAGTTTTAGAGCGCAATGTACCTTTTATGAAGGATAATTACTTAAACACGATTACTTAGAAACTAAAGATTTAGAACGTAATATAGCTTCTTTAAGGGATTATTTTATCAACACAAAATATAGTATATTACTGGCAATTTTCTTAAAATATCTAAGATTGTTTTCCGTCATAGATATTTTATTGTTCTTTACAATTTTCTACGTAATCATGAATTCTCGATTAGCTTAAATATTTAGTACCCCTCATAAAAATGAACGTTTTCGAGTCGGTATTTCTTTGTATAGGATTGATACAAAAATCGTTGAGAATAATATATGTATATTTTTTTACTCAGGATTGTCGGTGTCAACCAGTTACGCCAAAAGAGGTTGATTTGTGTGTCATTCCCGAACCAGTTCCTGAGTGTCCAATATGTCCTCAAGTATTTTCAGTAAGCTTTCTTATTTGATATTTGAGAACAAAATATAGATATTGAGAAAAATTTGTAGTGTAAAAAAATAATTGTAAAGTCTACAAAAAAAAAAAAATCATATTTTCTACAGGAAAAAAATGTTTAATGCTGAATACAGATTTTTTGTTTCTAAGCATTATCTGCGAGCTGCAAAAAAATTCTTGTAGCTGTTTTTTTACCAATTAGTTTTTCTCTTTTTTTCACTCTAGTCATAAACGGATTAAAACTGTTAATTCAAATTCTAGCTTTTGTCTTACAGATTCGCTTACCATAAGATAACTTTATTATTTTTCAAATCATTTTACAATTATTTTCTACACTTGCTCTTATTTTTCAGAAATTATTTAATGGTTTTTAGCTTCGTGTAAATAAAATTGCGTTTCGACTTCATTATCGAATTGATACTCTACCCGATTATTATCTGTATTTAAATATAATTTTCCGGTAAGTTAAATTGCCCGACATTTTTATAAGGGTGGGTTAATATAGTTTTATACGTTCTTACATTTAAATATGATATAATGACAGTTTAAGATTTTTCGTCATAACCAAACACTTGAGCTACCGTGGCTCAGGGGACACATCGCTCGCCTCCCATTGAGGTTCGAATCCTCTCCTTCGGGTTCAAATCCTGGTATTGACTGGATATGCACCGACCTAGTGCAGACATAGTTACTTTATAGAGGTATTTTTTGTTAAATTAACAGAGCTTGTTTGCTAAAAAACAGTTATCTGCTTAAAAAAAACAGGCGTCCGGTTTCAAGTAACGGTATATTTCTGTGATATTAATAGTTTTATACTGACACAGCTGATAGTTTCTTACTGTAAATTTAACAAATTTCTCTTTATAATGTAAAAATATTTAAACAAGCTGTTACATCTTTACATTTTGGATTTGATGATGATGTAGAGAAGTAGATGGCATGCATTCCTCTTAATTTACTTGTTTTAGTAGCCAGGGTAGCCTGCTTAGTTGGGTGTTAGGCTCATGTCCAAGGCGTCGTGTGTTCGATCCCGGCCGGCCAAAGACTCTCCGTATAGTAAATGGTGTTGGTGCACGCTAAATCTGTCGGGTCACGAAGTTCTCTATTTCCCCCATTACAAATCATACCTCTGGAGGTACTGAGGGAGATTGATCGTTCTCTGGTACAGGTCAAAATTACGATCTGTAAATGAATGAATGGATGTATGAATGGGTCTCCGCTCTATAAACGGGTTGTGAGGTATGCATGCCTGAAGTCATACTCTTGGCCATAGATGGCGCCACCGAAAAACAAGAAACGCACCATTTTCTTTACATTCGCTTGGTTTTACGAAGCAGGTTTGCTGATACCGGCAAGTAGCATTAGAAACAATAGCAAAACTTGTTTTATGTTCTTAATGTGCACTGTTAATAAATAGTTAATTGTCTTTGTAACCCCTTTTTTTCCATATATCTTAGTATGAGATTTGTCTGCTAATAATCACTTGTTTCATTTTAATAGGGTTTGCAGTCATTATGGGCAAATGATCCGAGAAAGCAGATCAATCGAAATTGTCATGAAGCTGCAAATAGGACCTGCTGTTGTTGCAATTGCAACAAGACATGCTTTTCGGATAATTCGTTGAAAAAGGATTATTGTGTGCCTATAAGCCCGCTAACCTCTGAAGAAGCGGAAAAGCGCAATGAAGCAATCATTGAACCATTTCCAATGACGAATTGTTGCTGTTGCAAAGATATGAAATGAAAATTTCAAGTTGAAAAATTGCTTAATTAAAAACATCAAAATTTTTTAACATGTGTCACTCAATACTCTATATCAATACATCATATCTTAAATAAATTAAGTTTTGTATCATTATCAGTAGCCCCAGTAAATATCATTATCAGTAGCCCCACATATCCATCCTCTAAATTTTTAAATCTGTTACTAGCAATAAATTATTTTCGAAAAAATTAACTTATAAAGTTTCAAGTCATTGAAACTTAAATGTTTTATTTAGTTAAGAAAGTTTAAGTATTCACATTTCACTCAAATGTTTTCTCCCTTTTTGTTCAATAAGGTTTTTGTTACATTTCAAAATAAAAAAAGTAATAGTTAATAATGGGGATAGTGGGAATATGGTGCCGGAAAAAAATAGATTAAAATTATATTATCAGTGATTGATGATAGAAATATAAATCTCAATTTCAAGATAAATAACAAAATCTATAAATTATAAAGGCGAAAAAATAGAACTTAAAAGAAAGTTATTTAAGGAAAGGGTGACATAATCGTTTAAGCAATGTGGTAGTACAAAAGAAAGTATTCAAACATTAATTCATGATTCATTTCATTCGTGATTTTTCATTGATAATCAATTACTAATATATTTTTTATTTTCATTATGAAATACTGTTTTTTTTTCAGTCATCTTCTAATTTTTACTTAATTTAGTAAAAATATTTGAATAAAATATTTGGGCTTCGATATTTGACCTATTTAACGCGAATCAACTTTCATAAAATTCATTATGATTGAATGTGGTTGAGCAACTGCTTCTTTTTATTTCATTTTTTAGTTGATTCATTAGTTTAGTTGATTAATTTAGTTTGTATCATTTCTCAGTTCACCGATTGATTCAATTTCAGTAATGGGCATGGATATACATACATGAGGAATAATACATTATTAATTATTCATTATTTATTTTAATCACTAAACAATAAAAAGTGAAACAATGATTATCTGAAATGGTGCTTTGATGTTTTAGTCTCTACAAAGAGTATGGAGTTGCCGAACGTATAGAGTTGTCAAATATGTAGTATTTATTTACGAATGAATCTATAAAAAGCTAAAAAATCATTTTTAAGTAAAAAAAGAAATTTTGGAACATTAAACTTGAAAATTTAAAGTTGAATGTTATGAGATTTGAGAGCACTTAAAATGCCTGGTATTAAGCAAGTGCCCGTTTTGATTGTTCTGCAATCAAGCCTCGGGTCAATCTAAAGAAGTGAGCTGTTTCAGGTATTTTTTAACGTTGAATTGTGAGGGGTGGTGGCTCAGGGGATAAAGGGTGGCGGCTCAATGTGGTAAACCAGATTCGGATCCCAGCGATGGCTGGTCTTTATGAATTCTGCATTCGACTCGCACCGACTTTAGTGCTGACGTAAAATATCGTCAGTGGTAGATGGATCATGGGTTAGAGTCCAATGTATTTGATCCAGGAGTTTTCTTGTCTTCTGGGTTCAAAATTGCAAGGCTATTTAGCTAAACATTGATAGTAGTAAACTCAAAATTGTATGGGATGTTCAACACAGGTTATAAAATGAAATAAAATAATAGTGCTTCTATATGAAACTTAATTTTCAAAACGATACTAAACATGTAATTAACCTTAACATTGTTACTAACGGATTGATACAAAGTAAATTACAATATAGGTGAGTGAATGAGTGATGATATTTATCAATTGAAGGAGAGAGAAGTGTGGGATATTTTTTTTTAATTTAAAAAATAATTAATCATTAGTTTTAGTATATCATATCTAGCCATGTCATTTGATTGATTAAATTCATTAATCGTTAATTAAAAAAGGCAAATCAGAGGAAACTACGAGGGTTGCTATTTATATTTCTGGTCTTGGCAACGTTAAGTGTTGCTAGGCGACCGCAGATGATTTTAATCGAGAGTTTGATATTTTTAAACATAAATTCAGCAGACAATTTACCATTATAGCTTCATTTGTGTTGTTGACAGTAAATTGAAAAGTTCTTCTCTTTCAAAAAATGGAATTGAATCGTGAACATTTTCGTGCCATTATTTTTCATAACTTTCGACGTGGATTGTCAAGACAAGAGTGCTTCGATGAACTTAATTCTTTATTCAGCGATAAAGCGCCANTGCACTGTTAATAAATAGTTAATTATCTTTGTGACCTTGTTTCTCTATATATCTTTGTATGAGGCTTGTCTGCTAATAATCACTTGTTTCGTTTTAATAGGGTTTGCAGGCATTATGGGCAAATGATGCGAAAAAGCAGGCCTCTCGAAATTGTCATAAACCTGCAAATACGGCCTGCTGCAATTGCAACAAGACATACTTTTCAGATAATTCGTTGAAAAAGGATTATTGTGTGCCTATAAGTCCACTAATCTCTGAAGAAGCGGAAAAACGCAATGAAGAGATCATTGAACCATTTCCGATGATGAATTGTGGCTGTTGCAAAGATATGAAATGAAAACTTCAAGTTGAAAAAATTGCTTAATTAAAAACATCACAATTTTTTAACATAAGTCCCTCACATTACTCTATATTACTATATTATATTTTAAATAAATTAAATACTTTTGCTTCATCTGGCAAATATCATTTTCAGCAGCACCACATATCCATCCGCTAAACTTTTAAATCTGTTACTAGTAATGATTTTTATTGGGTAAATGCTTGAGTAAAATTTTATTAAAAATAAAATATTTTCAAAAAAATTAACTAATGAAGTTCAAAGTCATTGAAATTTAAACATTTTTATTTAGTTAAAAAAGCTTAAAAATTTACATTTCACCCAAATTCTTTTTTTTCCGTTTTATCCTTTTTATTCAATAAGGTTTTTGTTACATTTTAAAATAAAAAAAAAGAAATTGCTGTCATTTACTTTTTTTAATGGAGATAATGGAATTATGGTGCCGGAAAAAATGGATTAAAATTATATTATCAGTTATTCGGGGCAGAAATATAAATATCAATTTCAAAATAAATAACAAAATCAATAAATTATGTGGACGAAAAAATAGAGTTTAAAAGGAAATTATTAAAGGAACAAGTAACATGATCGTTTAAGCAATGTGATAGTACAAAAAAAGCATAATACAGTAACTAAAGATAACTTTTAATAATTATTTATGTTTTATTGTTTAATTTAATAGTGGACGAAAAATTTATGAATTATGAGGTACAAATTTTTACACCATATTAATCTACGTATTTTTCTACAGAGAAATCTAAAGTTTCGTTTGTTTATATTTAGAAGCAAAAGATTAGATTAATTAAATTTAATTTCTTAAAAAAATTGGCGACAATGAAGAAAAAAAAACTAAATGTGGTAAACTTACAAGGAACTTGATTTATGCAAATTAGTGTAACATTTCATTCATGATTTTTCATTGATAATCAATTTCTAATATATTTTTTTTATTTCAATTATGAAATACGATGTTTAAGTCATCTTCGAATTTTTAATTAAATCAGTAAAGAGATTTGAATAAAATATTTGACCCTCGATATTTGACATATTTAACGCAAGTTAAGTTTCATAAAATCAAGCTTATGTTTGAACGCGGTTGCTCACCCGCTTCTTTTTATTTCATTTTTTAGTTGATTTATTCCACGATTGATTCAATTTCAATAATGGGCATGGGCATGCATACGTTTGGAACAATACATTTAATAATTATTCAATACATATTTTAATAACTAAACAATAAAAATTGAAACGAGTATACCAGTTTTCCAAAATTTATCGTCCTGAATTAAAACAATTGTAATATCAACATTGATTATCTGAAATTTTGCTTTGATGTTTTATTCTCTACAAAGAGTATGGAGTTGCCGAACGTATAGAGTTGCTAAATATGTAGTATGTATATACGAATCAATCTGAAAAATAAAAAATCTTTTTTAAGTAAAAAAAAAAAATTTATAATTTAAAGTTTCATGTTATGAGATTTGACAGCCCTTACAATGTCTGGCTTAAAGCAAGTGCCCGTTTTGACCGTTCGGTAATCAAGCCTCGGGTCAATCTTGACAAGTGAGGTGTTTCAAGTATTTTTTAACGTTGAATAGTGCGTGGTGGTGGCTCAGGTGATAAAGGGTGAAGGCTCAATGCTGTGAACCGGATTCGGATCTCAGCGATGGCTGGTCGATATGAATTCTGCATTCGACTCGCACCGGCTTTAATGCTGACGTAAAATATCCTCAGTGGTAGACGGATCATGGGTTAGAGTCCCATGTATTTGATCCGGGAGTTTCCTTGTCTTCTGGGTAGGGTTCAAAATTGCAAGGCTATTTAGCTAAACATTGATAGTAGTAAACTCAAAGTTGTATGGGCTGTTCAACACCGGTTATAAAATAAAATAAAATAAATAAAATGAAAGTGTTTCTATATGAAACTTAATTTTCAAAACGATACTGAACATGTAATTAACATTAGCATTGTTACTAACGGATTGATACAAAGTAAATTGCACTATAGGTAAGTGATGATATTTATCAATTGAAGGAGAAAGAAGTGTGGGATATTTTTTTTTAATTTAAAAAAAGATAATTAATCATTAAGTTTAGTATATCTACCCATGTCATTTGATTGATTAAGCTCATTAATCGTTAATTAAAAACGACAAGTCGAAAAAAACAATTAAAATATATAAAAGGTAATCGAAGGCTACCAACTACTACTTTGTTTTGCTAAATATTTCATTGAGAAGTAGGCAATTAAAAACAAAAGCTCTCAGAATTTTTGACAATTTTGAAAATATTTTAAAAGCCTCTCCATGAGAGAAATGGATCGTGGGAGTTTTTGAATCATTCATGTACAGTGGTGTGAAAAATAACTCTCAATCAAATTAATCATAACACATTATATCATAAACATAGCTATCACTAGAAGAGAATTTTTTTGAAAAGTAGAGAAAATAGGAAACCCTGAGTACATTTATTCTTAATGACAATCTTATTTTTAAATCCTCATCATTATCAGAGGGCACATAGAGTCCCCAATTTTGTTCTCTAATTTCCCCCGTCAAATGCAGCAACTCTTGGAACCTGCCAACTGGTTCATTTATATTTTCACACTCCATCATCCAGCGCCACGTTAGTTTTAGACATCCTCTCTTCCCTTTTTCCTCTGGAGCCCTGCTGTTGAAGACAATAGGAATTCTATCTCTATTGATTCTTAAAATATGTCTGGTATAACGCCATCTTCGGGTCTAGATTTCTTCATCCATGGGCTTTATTTTTGTTATCCGTAATAACATTTCATTGCTGGACCAAAATATCTTTGTAATAATTCTCAAACATTTATGTTAAAAAATATTAAACTTTTCATTTTGTGCCTCTGAACTTTTCAAAAAGAACTGGCCTTATTAATGGTTCATAAAACATAAATTTCACTCTGAAAGTCATATTTGAGATCTTCCACAGTTTATTATTAAACATGATGTATAAAAATAATCTAAAATGGAAATTAAAAGGAGTAAAATTTAATATAGAATTCCATTCTTTTTTCAATTTTAAAATGTCTATTTCTTCTAAAGAGAATTAGTATTTTGAACAAATTACTTTGTTTTCTGAGCTATAAAAATTGAAAAAAAAATTCATTCGCAACTGTTTTACCAAATTGAGGAAACAATTAGAGAGGCACACTAAAACCTACGAAAAAAGCGTTATAAATTTAGAGCATGAAAATAAACACACGCGGTTTCTCAACGAACAAATTTTGAGCTTAAAAATAGCATCTTTTATAATTATGTCTTATTTAACATTCAACTTTTAGGCAGTCTAAAAATATATATTTAAAACATAAAAAGAGAAAATTTCAATTACTTGAGCAACACATTTTCATGCAAATTAGTTTAAAATAAAAATTAATCTATTAAATTTTGAAATCAATAAAAATAACTAAAACTTGTCCTTTGCTCAAAAATGCCTAATTGAGCAACATGGTTTTAATTCCTTTATTTGCCCCGTTTAAATACTTACAAAACTTTCAAAATCGTCATTTCTAAAATGATATAACATTATTCTCCCTTTTATTAATAATTTAACTATATATTTTCATTGGGAAACTGTTCGATAAATTTTGATTATTCTCTCATCAGACACAGAGCTTCAGTTTAAGTTTGAGCATTCCAGATAATGGAAAAGTGATCTGAGTTGTCAATGAAATAGCTCGATAATTGGGCTTGACAATGGTGATAAAAGCTCGTCGGATAATGATAGATGGTAAAGTTTCTTGATGAAATTGTAATGATTTCTACTTGCAATGGTCATAAAAGCAATTGGAGCCAAATTTAAACAGCTTAAAAGTTCCAAAATGGTGTTCCAAGGAACCCTGGGGTTCCGTGGAAAGCTTGCGGGGTTCTGAGAGTATAAATTTTTTAAAACTGGCAGTTATTTTTGAAATCTGTCATTATATTTATATCCAAACATTAAACCAAGATTTATTTGATATTTTGATTATTTGTATGAAATTATTCAAGTATAATAGCAATAAGAAAGTAGTATAATTTAAAAAAAAAATAGTTCGTTCTTTACCAATTATGTTAAATACATTTTGAAAATAATATGCATTTACAATTATCGTCATTTAGTACAGAGCTTCAGTTAAAACGTGAGCATATTAGTTCGTCGAATAGTGGTCAGTATTATATTTTGATTGACAGTAAATTTCGTTTTGAAACGTTTTTTCGTCAGGAAACGATTAGAACTAGTGTTATTATCGAAATCAGAGCTTTCATCAAAATGTAAGCATTATATCTACTTATAGGAAAGTAATTAGCATTTGAATTGACATAAATTCTCTTTGGCGATAATATCACGATCAATTTGGCTTCGAACAGCCAGAGAATGCATACCAAATATACGACTTTTTAAAATTCGAGGGACTATTCGACATACCTCGCTCTAATTTTGTATTTTGCCCTGTAGAATTACATTCTTTAAAGTGATGTAAAAATTGTATACCTTATAATTCAAAACGTTTTCGACAATTATTAAATAAAACAATAAATGATTACTAAAATCAATTTTCCTTAAGTAAACGAATTTTATAATTGTGTGCAAAAACGTTTCAATTCGCTTAAAAATGTCTCGAGACATGGAAAAATGCACAAAAAAAAAAAGAAAAAAAAAGAAAAAGAAAATTAACATAAGGGATCCAAACTTAGGATCGCTCTACTGATCAAACTATTTGAACCATATTTTGAGGCTACTCCTTACATTTTTGGAGTCAGAAATCTGAGTGCATCGAAAAAAGGTTTGCTAATTTAGAGAAAGTATGTTTTTGTGTCTGATTTCGTAACTTATATCGTCTGCATTAATTAATCAGCATATTTGAGGTCACCCCTTTGAATCACTAAGAGTGAAACCTAGAACGTGTAGATCCGATCATTAGATTAAAAGTTATTCAAGATGGTCCGTTTATTTTTTGAGCACTGTACGCCTATATTAACTTAATTTGTTTTCGAAACTTACTTAATACTTACTTAGTAAGAGTACTTGTACTATTTCTTAGTACTATTCCTGTTCTAATAGTTTAGGGAAGACTAAAAGATTGATCGGAATTTTAGTGCTTTTTGACATTACTTAAAAAAATTTTTATGCGTTTTTCATCATTCATTTTCATCAAAAAATATTAGCGCTCAGTTATAACTAGTGATTACTTTTAGTAATATAATTTTATAATTTAATTTTATAATAATCGAAACAAATTTGATCTGTAAAGTATATGCATTTTCACATACGACGCTATTTTAAGTATTAAAATCCAAAATTCGAAGTAAATTAGTTGAAAGGTTTTTGAGAAAAATTTAAAATATTTTTAAATAGAAGTTCTTGATATAATATATTTGTAAGGAAATAAATACGTTATGTGCTCTATATACAAATATATACAAATACATATTGAAAAATTTTAATGAACTATTCTGCTGTAAAATTTTAAATTTTATTTTTTAAAAATACAATCAGCATTTACTGATCCAATGAAATTTAATATACTCTCAAATTAATTCAAATTCCTATAAGACAACTGCAATAAACATTTCATTAAAGAATAGTATATTTCATTGCAAATTAAGGGCTCAGGGTAAAACAAAGGTGAAACTAAATTTAAATAATAAAAAGGTAAAAAAAATTTCATTAAAGCAAAAACAATTTTACAATTTCGTATAAAAAATGTAAAATCCTGTATACATTCAAAGTCTTTCATATTTTAGAATTATATTTAAAAGTAACATTAAGAGAAGAAAATACTTTAAAAGATATGTTTAAAGCATTATTTTTATGTTATTGCAGGGCTGTAACCAGGTTTATTGCAAGAATTATTTTCAAGTTATAGGCGGATATAGATATAATTTCTTCCCCATTAAAGTGTTTACGATTAAAAATAACCATACTAGGTTAAAAATAATTAATCCTTTCAAAATAACTAAATTATCTAAACTATTAATAGTTAGAAAATAAGTAAGTTTATTTCCAATATACTAAACATAGAATTTTATAGAAGAATGCACACAACCAATCAATATATATTATTATCCGTTTACTCAGTTCATCCAGCAATGTTTTTCAGATTGTTAATTTCGGAGGGAATCATGCCATCTCTTGGTTATGGTCAAGCATTTTGTTTTGCTCTGTATCATCGATTCCGGCAATTTAGCCAATAAATTCATATAAAACCAAATTTGCATATTGTTTAATTATACATAAGTTATTTATAACATAAGTAAAATAAGATATAGAATTAAATTTAAGGTTACACTCATTTCAATTTTAGTTAACTTTTATTTCTAATAGACAATTCTTAAAGAAAAATACAAATAGAATGCATTTGGAACATTTAGGGAGCCCCCAGAAATGTGGGAGCCCTAGGCCTGGGTCTCATGATGAATCAGCCTCTGACAATCAGGAAATCATTAAATAAAATTTAAATCTAGACATATGTTTATTTGAAGAATATAGAAAACATGGATTATTAGAATATAAAATTATAATAAGAACCTTCTAATGCGATTATTCTTTTGTGTATTCTTATTTAAAATTCATTTTTATTTCCATGATTTTAAGGTCGCATTATTATTCTTAAATTCAGGACTATCAAAAATTTTGTTTGCTTTAACTGTTTCGACAAGCTCGATAAATAATGTCACTAGGTACAAATTATAAAAAAAGGTCCAAGTTATCCTTTTTGGCACAAAAAGGAGGAAGGAAGATTAAAAAATATTTTGCAAATAAAGAAGTGAATTATTAAAAAAAAAAATTCCATTTCTTCCTCTTATATCGGAGAGTGTTGCCAACACTACACCTAATTATAATGTTCTTTCCAAAATTACGTAAAATGGCGACCAAGAAAAGAGCCCGAACAAAAGAATAGAGGGGTCGAGATTAAATGAAGGGCTATAAATTAATCTTCCCTGTCTTTTAGAATAATCATACGTAATAATGAACAATTGTGAATATGAGATTGTGATTAATGAAAAAGAACTTTTTCTTTCTGGAGGAAAAGGGAAGCGTTGAACTTTGTCAATCACTGAAAACCCGCAATCATTCTGGTTCCATTTCTAGTTTTCCCGCCAAAAACAGATTTCATAGGCGTAGCTTGGGAAGTGTCTTTTTTATTAAGGTCAACATATAAATAGGCTTCCAATTGCCGGATAAGCTTTAAAAAAAGTTGTGGGTTTGGTTTCATCAAATAGGTAGACTCGTCTTTTTCATTTCTCATGGTGGGAAAATAATAATCCTTACTGGAAAAGCTGTGTTTTTGATATCCAAAGATGGTAAGTGTGAATCTTTTTATCTCTCTTGCGTTAGGTTGTATCGCATACCTTTCAACTTTTTTATTTTATTTTTAAGAATGGTTTTTAAAAGTGGTGATAAATTAAAATTGAAAAATAAATTGCATGAAAACATATTTTTATGTTTCTCCAAAGCTTAAAGAGACCATTGTCTGATTACTATGTAATTATATATATATTAAATGTATTCATATGTAGTGATGGTTAAATTCATTCGAAATTTATGAATCTAATGATAAAATAAAAAATAAAATCTTAAAGTTTTGTCATCAATTTAAATATAGAAATAAAATCTTTTGAAAAATCCAGAAAAATTTGTTGCTATCTTCTTGAAGCAGAATTTTAATTAAACATATTTTTCATACTTTTTTATTTATTTTGTAGTAATTTAGGTCAAAATAAGACAAAAATATTGTAATTAGCATTTTAATAATTTACTGTTATGAAATATAACATCAAACAACATAATTGGATGGTTTAGTCATGTTAAGTGTTAATGGATCGTGTTAAGTGCTGTTTTAGTGACTTCCGATAAAATTAGCTTTCGACTAGCTTTTTTTTTAAACACAGCTATTTACTAAACATTTTCCCCCACTTGAAACCGGTGCCTTTTTTTAAAAAAATTCGCAGAATCAATAAGAACCAATAAATGCTCCATATTTACAACCTACCACATGTGAGCCTAAATTTCAGATGAGAGTTCCTAAATTTTTTTCAACATGCTCTATTTTTAAGGTCTTCAACGGTAATAGATTTAAAAAATAATCAGTATTATAAGATTTAGCTAGGAATGAACAGTGTCAAAAGTTATTTAAGTTATTATTCACGCTTGATAATAGCTTAAAACGTTATATTTATAACTGATTAAGATAGATCCGTAACATGCATATCTATATCAGTAACATACATACATAATTTGTTCTGTTCTTAAAAGTTAGGCATATTAACTTGAAGCTCATTAGACCAAATGCTTATAATAATACAACGGATGCTCAATAATAATGTAAAATTTTAAATTTATATTTGATTAATTTACATTATATAGCTTTGTATTACGCATATTTCTGAGAAAATATGCATATATTTTTAAAATTTCGTCCGGAGTACTTATAATAATACAACCTATATATGAAAATACTTTAGAATATTCACATTTGAGTATAATTTAAAACGTTGTATTCATGAATTACATTTACATTATTACATTTAACATTATTACATCATAACATTATTACATTTCACTATTTTATGGATATAAAAAATCGTTCGATACAAAATATCTGTTATCAAAATTATCCAATTATTCCCTTAAATATGGCAGATCACTATCTAAAAATGTAACCCTTAATAAACTGAAAACGAAACCTTTTCTATTAAAGTCAATATTTCCAATAAAATTTAACACTGGTTCAGTGTTGCCATCTTTTTTTAGAAAATAAACTAAAAGTGGATCTTTTCTAAACGTTTTCGGTCTAGTTTACTGGTAGTGAGATCTCTAGTTGCGGTGCTTTTGCACGAGGTTATGTAACTGGATACACTCCGTTCATAATGTTGCATCGTGTAAATTACGGTTAAACGTGAATAAGCTTGAAAACGGTAATTTTTTAATAAATGTTGAGTAATTTTTTTCTAAAAAATGCTTTGTTTGATGCATTTTCTTTGTTAATATGTTATAATATAGTCAAATTCTGTTTTAACGAGAAAATAAGCAGCAAAACTATTTACTAGTCATATCAGCTTGTTAAACACGAGTTGGTTGAAATTATAAGAAATAAAAGCCATTATGAATAAAAATGAAAATGCTTAAAAATGAATTTCTTTTTGTAACTCTTCATTTGCATTGTATTGAACAAGGTTAACTTTTTGCAATTATAGAAACACAATCAATTCCATGGTTTGCATAGCAACATTTTCTGTCAGTTATTACAATTGTGTGATTCATGTCAAGATATAATGAGAAATTTACAATTCGTTTAAAATTGTAGGTTTTTCAAAGTGTTATCTTGCATATTTAAATTTTTAATAATTAGTTCGATTTTTGTTTACAAAATTTATGATTTGTTATTATTAGACAGAGTATTTCAAATACTACTATAAATAATCAATAATAATTTAAAATATCAATTTTTTTATAATATTTTCAAACGTTATGTTTACGTTTGCAAATTTTAATTGAAATATATATCAGTTTTTTATGTTACATTTGAAGCGCATTAGACCGAATACTTTGAATGATTCAATAAATATTCAATAATAATTTATTAAACTTTAAATTTATATTTGATTAATGTATTTTATATAGCATTTTAATATTCACATTTGAAGAATGGGAATAGTCGAATTTTAAATGCTATGTTTACATGTGATCAATGTAAATGGTGAAAATATTTATCTATTTTAAAAATTTCGGCATAGTTACTTTTTCCCTTTAAGTTTATTAGACCAAATGTTTTGAATATACAACAGATATTCAATTATAATTTAAAACTTTAAATTTAAATTTGATTAATAAATATATATATAAATATAACATATATATAATAATAAAACTATAAATGACATATATATATATATAATATATATAATATATATTAATATATAATTCTGTGAAAATGTGTATTTGTTGTTAAATTTCCGTTGTATTTAATATCCGTTGTATTAAATTTGAATATTCTATCAATATTATAAATTTTTAATAATACTATAAAAAAATTCACATTTGATAATAATTTGAAATGCTATATATTTATATTTTATCAATATTATAGTTCCGTAATATGCTTATCTATAGCCGTAATATGCATATATCGTTTATCTGTTTTCAAAATTTCGGCATATTTAATTTTTATCTTGAAGCACATTAGATCGAATATTTTAAGTAATTACAACGGATATTCATTAATAATTTAATAAATTTATATTTGGTTGATATATACTATACAGTTCTATATTATGCATATTTCTGTTGTGCACTGCATGTTCTATATTATGCATTGGTTTTTAAAATTCAGTTGTATTCAATTTTTACCCTTAAGTGAATTATACCGAATATTTTGAATATTCTATCAATATTTAATAATACTAAAAAATATTCACACTTGATAATATCTTAAAACGCTATATTTATATTTGATTAATATAATGCATATAGCTATATCAGTAACACACATGTACCATTCATCTGTTCTTAAAATTTCGGCATATTTAATTTTTACCTTGAAGTGATTAGATTGAATATTTTATTGAAGCAATTAGATTGATTAGATTGAATATTTTAAGTAATTACAATGTATATTGAAGCGATTAGATTGATTAGATTGAATATTTTAAGTAAATACAATGTATATTGAAGCGATTAGATTGATTAGATTGAATATTTTAAGTAATTACAATGTATATTGGAGCGATTAGATTGATTAGATTGAATATTTTAAGTAATTACAAGGGATGTTCAATAATAATTTAACATTTATATTTGATTTATATATATTAAATAGCTTTGTATTATGCATATTTCTGAGAAAATAAGAATTTATTTTTAAAATTCCGTTGTAGTTAGTTTTTAACCGGATATTAGCCGGAATACTTAGAATAATACCATCTATATTTAATAATACCTTAAAATATTCATATTTGATAATATTTATATTTATATTTGATCAATATATATAGTTTTGTAAAATGCATATTTGGAGGAAAATATTTATCAATTATAAAATTTCATAGAATTCAATTTTTACCTTGAAGTGAATTAGACCGAATACTTCGAATAATTAATTATGCAGTAAATAAACACAGTCCTATTAAATGAGAGAAAACACCTTTAGCTTCAAGGCAATGGAAGTGATTTAATGTTGCATCAGGAAAAGATAAATAACAGTAATTGTCCATTCACTGCGGGTCATAAAATTAATACCTAGCAATTTCACTAACAACCAACTGTTTAGATCAGCGTTTAGCTTTAGGTTACTATAGTTATTCTGTTTTTGTCTTAGAAGCAAAATCTTTATTCTACACTGAAAAGAAAAATGATCAAAACTGTTAGAATACGGTAAAGTTTACCGTGTTTTTGACTCTATGGGAACACCTAAAAGATTTTTATTGAAGCGCTTTTGTTATGATACTGGTAAAGTTGGCAATAAAATATTATTTCATAATAAGTGAAAAAATTTCGAAAATGTGGTAAAATTTGGTAATTTTATAAACATAAAAACCTTTTATTCGGTAAAATTTGCTTTTGAAAATATTGTGTTTTTTGCTAAATGTGTGGTTATAAGAAGTATAATTTTCAAAACTAGAATTCCTGGCAATCCGTTAAGGTATGAACGGAATAATTAACAAATTAAAGGTTTAAATACCGTATCTTTTGATTTTATCAATTGCCATTACCATGCAGTATAGTAATTATGCGAGAATTATTTCTCTGTGTAGGTACTTTTGTTTTTTATTATTATTTTATTTGAAATGTTATATTTTATCTAATAATGCCTACTAAAAAAATAAATTTAGGGAATATCTAATATCTTTCTCTTGCGTTTGGGATTGTTTATCAATCGTTTATTAAAAAAAAGTTTTATGCCTACATTTTATTTTATTTTAAATTTTATAACCGTCATTGAACAGCCGACCCAATTTTTAATTTACCACAATCAATGACTAAATACCTAGCCTTGTAATATTAAACCCAACCCATAAGACTAAGGAACTTATGAGTCAAGTATTGGGAGGAAATTTTGCTTTCGTGGGGGACTTTGTTGATGAAACTAGACCGCACTTGCGATTCTTGGTGAGGAAAACCCTGAAAACTACCTCTCACGATTAGCCTGACGACAAGGGAATTCTAACCCATGATCCGTCTACCTCTGAGGATATTTTACTTCAGCACTGTGGTCGGTGCAAGCAGGCTGCGGAATTCGTAAAGAGTGTGCTTACATTTGTCATTTTCTTTTAATATATAACAAGTGCAAGGTGTTTGTCATGTG